GCCGTACGAACGCCTTATGTGAAAGTAGTCCAACCTAAGTGTAGGTGTGGTCATGCTGCATTGGCTGCGAGAGCTCCTCGTCGACCGGAAATTCTGCGTCCGTGTTGGCAAATCGCTTTTCGTGTGGTATTCCGCTCTCAGTGGGGCTAGGATCTTGGTCCATCGATCTTTGTGGTTTATGTGAAGGACTTGCCCGGTCAACTATGTAGCTCATCCCTCATGTATGCGGATGACATCAAAATCTGGTGTACAATCGAGGATCCAAATGATCGAAGTTCTCTTTAAGCCCATTTGAACAACCTGGCCCAGTGGGTGGACACCTGGGCTCTTCCAGTCAACATCGCAAAGTGTGCTCACCTGCACTTGGGACGTGCTGACTCAGAGGTAATCTACAACTTCCAGGGAAACACACAGCGCAGAACATCGTGCGAAAGAGACCTGGAAGTTATGGTTACGTCATCACTAAAGACCCAAGAAAACACCGATCGGGTCTAAGTCAGCGTATGGAGCATTCTGAGGCCTATTCGGTGGTCTTTCAACCGGATCACGATGAACTCTTTCAGACTGCTGGACGCTTCCCATGTTAGACCGAGACTTGAGTATGTTGGTGCGGCGACATATGCCTGAACGGCCGGTGAACTTTCTAAGTTGGAGCGTGTACAATGTACTGCCACTAGACTCGTTGTTGGACTACACGGGACCAGGTATGAAGATAGTATTCGGGCTACTGGTCTGTTCCCAGTTGCGTAGCGGTGCCTCAGGGAGATCTCATCTGCCTGAGGAAGATCCTGAAGAGTCATATGGGCTCGGAGCTGCACTGGTACTTCGCTTTACGGACAGAGCACCGCACGCGGGGGCACTCTCTCACGTTGCGGGAACTTCAGTCAGTTGGTCTTCCGTTAACCTACCGACTCCCGTGTATGTTAACAACACTCTGGAATTCCCTTCCAGCGATTGTGGTGGAAGAGAAGACAGGCGTGCTTTTAAACAGTGTCTGGGTGAGCACCTGAAGGGGCTATAGAGGAACGAACATCTGTGCCTGGACCTTCGACCCAGTGGTGATGAGGCTTACACTGATAATCGCACTCTGCCCTCATTACTACAGACTGAAGACTGAAGGTAAGGATACACACACTCCTGGGTTATCGTGCGGATTAGACTTCTTGTTCAACCATGAGACTTAACTCTACCGACGCTTACAGAAAATGAGAGTCTCTTTGTAATTTACAAACCAGCCAGAACCGACAAACTACCTCAGTCCAGTCTCACATCTCTGTCTGTCCAGCGTTTGACAAAGCACTGTATAGTCGACGGGTATGCGTAGAAAAGCTCTCTGGCTTAAGAAGCGATCGCTTAATAGCCATTTAAATCGTCAGTGGACTTCAGTGCATCTAACATGTTGAATGCGTGACAAAGAAACAATATTGTACTAAAATATTCCTGAATAACACATTCGTTATTCTTCGTCCTGGAGAACGTGCATATCCAATTCCCCAACGAAATTTCAATGCAAATATTTGTGTACGAAATACTGCCGTCACAATCAGTCTTCATACATCAAACTCAGACATGCAGGTGGCTGGAACGTAGTGAATAAAGGTGACTGGCTTTCCCCGAGCAAACTGCCTTAACTTAAACCGGATCGAATGGGACGGCTCTTGATTTGATCGTATTTGAATCGCGCAAAACCATTAGATCGGTATGAAAAATCAACAGCTCCGAAGAGCTGCTCAGTGATAGAAAATAACGCTGTGAAACATACTAATCCTGTTCACGGTTCGAGTTCTGACAGGGACAAAAAATAGTACGCACTGTTGACGAGTACCAAACAGGACGAAACAGCTGTCCAGTGCTCTTTGTCGGTTATCACAAGTGTTTCCACTGTATTTATATACCTTATCCCCTTTCAATTCTCATTCGACTGGACTTCAGAACCCCGCTAATCATAAGATAGACCGTGAGCTAATCCCAGGATGTCATAAAATCAAGTGCTCCTCAGCCATCCGGGAAATTAGTTTTGCATGTTGTTTGGCACACTGTACACGATAGAATCAAAATGAACGGATAGTGTGACATAGCTCTTATGTGCTAGCCCGTGGTGCCATTTAATTACCAATGTCTGTATCCTCATTTATTCCAGATTCCATCGAGTTTCTTTACAGATTTGTGGGTTATAAAATGACTAACACAAAACCAGTCACCCATCAGAGCTACGTACGCGGAACAGAGTAATATCAGAATACACACTGCTTGATAGCTCGTGCATGGTTCTTCCAGGATGAACAAACTAACTGCTACAGTCTAACCCGAATAGTTACGGTACTTTATCAACCAACCCACTCACACAGCTCTACTTCTGACACTTTTCCATCAAAGCTGATTCTAATTTTTTACGGTTGGTCCAGTTTTATCCCTACCGAAATTTCACTGGGTTAAAATGCATCTAAGTTTTCTCCTTCAGTTGGAATATCACTTGTGTCATGTGTAAAATAGACATATTGTGAAATCCGTTCATTTTCACACCATCTGCCTGCAGTTATTTCAAATCATCTTATAGTTACTTAGTTAAAAGAGGATCTCCTAAACAATAGTTAATCTGACTGAAATAATGGTAGTTTGAGTGATTTTAAAGTGATGCTTCATCGGATAGTATAAATCACTGGAAACTCCTAAAAACGCTAGACAACGTATCTATGCTTCCCAGGAATTTGCAGCTATGGTTTAGACATATCAACTCTTTGGAGCCGTAACAATATGTCATTTCACGCAAACCAATCCGAATTTCAAATCGAAATGTAATTTACACACACACACACACACACCAGTTGCCAGTTCACGTTATCACCCACCCATCCCCGCCAATGGGTTGTTTTCTATGGTTTGGTGCAATCAGCCAACACAATAGCTACTAAATCACGTGACCATCCCCTATCGGCACGGTGTTCATTTCATCCAATGATAGACAGAACGGGATCGGTTATATCAGTGAGCAACCCGAGCGGTTGATGAATTCCGGGACAACTGTGCATGTGCCTGTGCCCACAGAAATGCAGCATGCGGAAAGTGCTGTCCGTTTGATTCGGACCAAGGTGAGTGTCCCAGTCCTCGAACTCACCGGGGAATCAACCGCAATACTTCTGTTCCGATGCGATTGATGAATGTGAGGTTGCCTAATCTCGTTTATTGTCTGCAAAAGATTGTTTCCATACAATAAAATACGTGACTCAGTGTGGGTTTGTGAGGTCATCTGAAAGGTCATCTTGAAAGCTTTTCGTTCAGCTCATCTACACCAGTTGGTCCGATTTTGTAACAGATGATTTCGAGGGCTTTAGGGAAAACCCAAGCACTTATTAGATGGCATCTACCTGATTAGAGCAAGAAAACAAATAATAGATCTATTGTTGTGCTTCATGGTTATGACGTTCTCAAGCATGTGACCCGGACCAGTGATGAAACACTGTGCCTTTTGGCCACCTGGTTGTTCGGTAAACCCTGAGGATGCTTAGAACACATACCGGAGAAATAAACCGGGTAATCCAAACAGTCTGGTAACTAGCCGATGTCTCGTACACACATCGAAAGTGCAGATATCCGTTGTACTGACGATTTAGAACACAGAATGAGGTCCATATTAGGTGACACGTAATTTTTCCTGGAAGGTTTATGTTCATAAATGGAGATAAATATCTTGCCTTTCCACTATTTATAGAACTTATGCATTTTTTTGTTCCCTATTCATGTGTCACGTATGCAGTTTGAAAAATCATTTGTGTTTAAAAGGTTGTTTTATTCGTCTAGTTAAATGCGTGCATCTCAGACAGCATAGGGTTTTAGTGTAAATCGTCCTACAGGGTGTGGTTGTTATAGTAAAGAAGAAGCAAACAAACAGAGCAGCAAATCACATCGAGAATGTGCTTTAATTTGCCTCTCGAAAGAGGTATTGAGCATCCCCGAGAAAATTACTTTGCTGCAGTGAAAAAATGGATAGGGGAGACAATAAATATATTGAGCGGAAACTATTAAATTTCACAGTAAAAAGTGAACCCGAGATATCTGATAGAACACGCTCTGGGAACGACATATTGATTAGGGATCATTAAATTGACGTATTTGTCACCGTTCATCAGAGAAAAGAAAATATCTCGGTACAATTGAAACGAGGCAGACCAAGTCTTTAAAGCAAATGTTAAATGTTATGCTTGTGTTTGGGGATACAAGGAAGAATGTGGATAACTCAGAAATGACATCATCTATATATTCCAATAGAAAACAATGATCAACAACCGGCAAGGAAGAAATAAAGATAAAGAAAAACAAGAAGGGAGACAGATTCTCACATTGATGAACTCCTTCAGTGGAGGGTAGAGATGATGTATTGTGTCTTTTATACTGAGTAAGCTGTTGGTAATGTGCCGAATAATTATAGAATAGATTGGTTACAAGCGACTGAATGCTCTGCTCCGACAGAGAGAGAGAGTGCCAAAATATTTGGCCCTATCGACAACAATAAACATATCATTATGGTCAACGAAACCGAGGTGGAACAGCTTGGCATTTACGGTGCCAGGAAGAAGAACCAGGGATATGAGCGTATTGATGTATGAACCATTAATTTGGTCTTTATGTTAAATAACGTCATATGAGTAGTCCAGCCCATTTTTTGCACCATGTAGCCGTTTCAGTAGTTTAGTCAGACACGGCATAACCCATGGTTAAGCGATGATAATTTCTTATTCACAATAAAATCCGGAATAAGTTCGTTGGAAGATTAGAACACCTGTCTAAAGGATCTAAAGGATCGTTACCAAGATTTGCCGTCGTTCTTGTGCACGTTGTTTGATTGTTTGGTTTTCGTGAAATTATTTTGCCACTCGGTCTGTGGATCATTCAGGATTGGGACGGGGATGGTCTGTGTATTGCTTTTGGGGTGTGGGAGCTACGGGGAAAGGGAGAGGAGGGGGTTAGGGCACACTGCGGACAATTCAAATTACGAATTCCCATCAAAATTGATTGATTGATTGATTGATCCATTAGATGGTCAAAACAACACATTCAGTGGGAACAAAACAACTCAGAGTCATGATGGATTAGATGTGATCTGTGTAAGAAAGTTTAACTTGAAATCGGTTCGCGTAAAATAGAATCAATGGAATAAACGCAGTTTGAAAACTCTGCAGGTACCGTGTAATTTTTTCTGTATTCGCCAGTATTGGACATCCATCAGTACCCCCCCCACCCCCACCCCCACCCCTCGTCTGAACCCAGAAACTAACGGTTTTCAGTAAAGCACACTAATTCCTCATAAACGGATTCGCGCAGACGGGATAACGATAAAGCAGTCATTTAAAACAGTTTCTGAGACTGATCTCATCTTAACTTCCATTCTCACATAGTTCAATGCTAAATTTTATATATATTATTTGTTAGAAGATTGTACACAGAAATTTCGTAAACCGTGGTCACAGATAAATACGGGAATAGTTTTAAAGATTTATCTAACCCACGAAAACCATACATTGTCACAATTGTTCTCCGGTGATCATATCTGTGTGCTCTGATTACGCTGGGTATTAAAATTAAAACAATCACTGGGTTTTTGAGTTGAGTAATGCAGTTTGGTGATAGGGTGAGGTCAGATTTCAAGTTGAATGAGAGCACACGGAATTGGTGGTGCTTTTCTATTCGGAACAACCAAATCGGAATGTGTTTTAAAATGTGAAAACAATAGATGATTAAATTGACTAATGCTGTTAAAACGATGACCATTCACAAAACCATAAATGCTTTTATTTCACTTTTTTAGCATGAATTGGACGCAACAATCCATACGACGATTCGCAAATTGATTGTAATCTTTTTCTACAATAAATTTTGTACGCTGTGCAACACAATTCAAGTGCAATACGAATCCATGGCGAAAAAATTTGATCGAGCCATGTTTCTTAAGGTTGACATGGATGTGAACGCGGTAAGTGACTGGTACTTCAAAATAGCTTTAACGTATCTCATCGGCTGATGATAAGTCATATTGTCATATGAAATATGGCCTCACTTGCAAATTCGTTTGGTGTCAGACTATTGTAAACAAAGATTTACTTTGTCCGGTGGCACAAATAACATTTCGATATTAAACCTAAAAATCAGTTCATAAAACGTTTATTCAATGAATTTGAAACAGTATTCACCAATTCGATTAGGTTAAAGCAATCTAAATCGGCCTCAGTAATCAGTTAGTGAAATTTTGTAGTTGATCCCAAATTATTCAATCTATTTTTATATCACAATTTGTCACGAGATGTGCTGTTCCCGTTTAACAGGAATCTGGCGAACCGTTCTCCATAACATCGACTCCGGCATTCGCATTCATCAAAGATCAGTCCGTGCTAGCCGTGTTCCCCGGTCCCGATGAGGTGCGGCTCCGAGAAACCATCAGACGTTACATCTAAAACTGTGCAGCAGCACAAATGATCCAGGAGGGGAAATTTGTCATTCCGTATTCCGTCACAACCCACCCACGCCCGTATCTTCAATAGCTGTTTGATTTCCCCTGGGCTCTTTTATGTTTATATGATTCACAATATATTTTGATTTTGGGAGGTGATCTTTCTCTTTTACAAGACCTATTCAGAAAGTGACCTCAAACAACTGCGTTCAAATATTCATTTTATTTCAGTCCCAAAACTGATCCAAAATACGATTACACTTCGATGACCATTCAAGTCAGTTTGTATCTCTTATCATGGCAATTCATCCTCATTTAGTAGAATAAATCGAAGAAACTTTCCAAATATCTCTTCTACACTGACGAGCTTCACATTTTGTGGAAAGATCTACCGTATGACTGATCGATAATGCGTTCACAATGAAGACGTGACACATGATGCGGCCTATGTTTTTGTTTTGAAACAACTATTATTTCGCAAGCAGAATTTATTCCTCGACGTCTGTCCAACTGTCAACACACACTGGGTTTTTTAATGCAGCAATAAGTTTCACATAA